TTCATATATGTTATACTCTATATAGACTGTCTCTTATACACATCTAGATGTGTATAAGAGACAGCCTATATCCTCAATGGCCTAGAGAGAACCTCAGTTCTCAGTCTCTGTACAGCGGCTAGGCTAGTATTACTGTTACAGCTAGGCCTAGGCCTTAGGCTAGGCCAGGCGCCTCTTCATCTACCACTACTACTAGGCCAGGAGGAGGCTAGCGTGTCTGCTAGAGTGGTAAACTAACTAAATAATAAAACAATAAAACAAAACCAACTCTTACCACTTAATAGTGAATACAGTACTGCTAAAATACTTCCAAGGAGTATGTTTATAACTGCCAAACATCATGACAAGTCCAGAGAAAAATTCAAAATACTACCGCTTCCGTTGGCTCTACATGAAGTGACAATTCAAATCAGCTGATTGGTCACTTCATCAAGTGACCAATCAGATTTGTGCAATTCGACACTAACATTAATTGGTTGTTAGGTGGGCTATCACAGTAAAGAGGTTATAGGCTGTTGATAACATTTTGCTGTCACATAAAAGCATTGTTGTTAGGTGAATATGTGAGGGATAAGTTTAGGGGCAGACCGGATACGTTTAGAGGCAGACCCGCTCCCCCCCCCCCCATAAAGTTCCCATAAGGCTACGTATTAGCTGTTCCAGAAATTTTTCATAGAGTTTGAACAGATTTTATATATACATTAATACATAATTTTTTTTATAGATATAATTTTTTTAATAATTTTTAATATTTCATTTACAGATAAACACTTCCATAGCGTTCGTATTCATTTTATATATACTTTCTATAGAGAAACAATTTTGCAGATTATAAATGTTTCCATAGAGTTTTTATATATATATTATATATATTTTCTATAGACTATTAAAAGTTACAGTTTTTAAAATGACTGTGTTTAGAATATTATACAGTTCTACAGAATATACTATAAATAAATAAATTTATATTGAAATTTCATATATTTTATACTCTATATAGATTTTATATGTTCCTATAGAGATAATCCCTATAAAATTGTTATAATACATTTTTTTTAAATACAGGTAAGGACTATAATTTTTTATAGAATAAATATAGAAATTTTATAATTTTATTATAGAGAATCTGTCATATCATTTGTATAGAATATTCTATAGAATTTCTATAGAATATGCAAGATGTAAAACATGTTGATAGGACTATACTGGTCAGACACGAATGTGTCAATACAATACTGAATGAAACAAAAAAACTTAAAAACATAGAAATTACATTAAATATGTGTATATAGTATGTTATAGAATTCTATAGAAACTAGTTCCTCTATAAAGCAATTTTATAGAAAATACTAATTTCTGTAGAAATTGATTAGTCTCTATAGAAAGTCTATAAAGTTCTATAGAATTTTTATGTATGGGAATGCCTTTTGCCCCCCCATGCTTTTATCTACTGATCCCGCCAAAGTGCCTAGCAAAGCGTGAGTACCACTTGGTTGTCTTGGTGTTTTACTGGTACAGGTTAAGCTAAGTAAAGCAATTAATTATATGGGGTAATCTGCGAGTGCTATATTGTACTGTTGGAGGATCATGAAAATATTAACGATGTCACAAATAAAGAAAAAAAACTGCGTTGTGGCTAAAATCCTTACTTTTGCCAGACATTAAGGTTATAGGCCTATTGTGCAAAGGACTATAGCAATATTAAACATTTACTACAGATAGTTGGATACAGAAACATGTCTGGGTTGGGGCCGTAATGGCCTTTAAAAATAAGCTTGCCTATGAAATGAAAGTAGTTGTGTTTTTATAAAATGGATAGGCCTATTAACTTATTGTAATTCAGTATACAAATTAAGCAACTTAGTTTTGTTTTATTGATACTCTACGTGGTAGTATAGGGTGCTTACATAAGAATGACCAACCGCGGGGGGAAAAAATGAATATTACCATTTGTGTGTACTAAACATATTTAATTTCTTCAATCTTTCGATATTTATGAACTTTAACATCCTTGGTTTTGTATTACAATCCAACAACGGATTTCCCACCCCATTTTGTTACCGTTGAGGAAGTATCTTTTAACAGCACAATATATTAATTCAGGAGCCCTAAGTGTACTGTAAGGCTGAGACAACTATACACGGAGATTTTCTTGGTAAGGCAAACTATCCCGGCGTGGTTTTTTCATGGATAAACAAACTGCTTTGCACATGGATGCCTTATCCTAGCTAGTGATACAGAGCCGCATTATTAGCATTGTATAATACGTACAAGGTACCTCTGCAACTGAATTATTCTTAGTTATTTGGTTTTTTTAAAATTTTAATTTATTTCTTTCGAAAGTGTACTTTATTGCACTGTCAAGTTAGGCCTAGTCTTATTATATAGAATTCGATCCAACTCGGCCACAAGTCAACTTGGCCACAGTCAACTCGGCCACAAGTCAACTTGGCCACAAATCAACTCGGCCACAAAAAGTTCGGCTGCAGTCAACTCGGCCACAAGTCAACTCGGCCACAACTTAACTCGGCCACAAGTCAACTCGGCCACAATAATATTGCTGTTATTATTGGTGTCATTGTTATTATTATTGTTGTTTTTATTACCGTTAGTTTTAATATTAAATATTAGTCTTAGCATTAACATTATGTATTGTTTAAATTTTTGCTGATATTATTATTGTTACCATATAAATAATACAAAATTCTCGATTTTTAAAATTTATTTTATTATTATATATTAGTCTTAGTATTATTATTTTAATAATAGTAATTTTAAAAATATTGTTATTGGTGCCATATTATTTCTATTAGTATTGTTAAAATAAATATTACTATTAATATTGTTGTTGTTCACCTTTATTATCATTATTATGACTAATTAGTATTATTAAAGTAAATATTTGAAAAGGACCGACATGTCACTGGTGAATCACGTCATCGGATGCATCCTTGTCACTGACGGGTTTCAAACATATCCCCCAATGGTCGAACAAACATGAAGGACTGAAGTCTGTCACTCAACAATACCAATTGTTCCTATTGTGGATAATTGATATCAGATGCTGCACCCCACCTAATTTTAACGTAGGCCTAATTCTTGGGCGTGGTTCTGAAGAAAATAGTATCGAAATGCACGCCATCGTGCATTCATTTGTTTTTTTTTTCGGATTCAAAATAAATTTTTAACATTTAAAAAAATCATAATGTGGTTTTTCTATTTCAATTTTTTATGATTAGGTCTACAGTATGTACTCATGTTTTATGCCAGTGTTTTAACGTGAACAAAATTTAACATTAATATATGTGTTTTTCTTATTTATTAAGATTGCTTAAATTGTTAATGTTACAATTGTCAGATTTTATTCCATTCTGTAAGTGGCATGTTTTCTCTGTTGAATAAGAGTACAGTGTTAAGAAATGTATACAACGATCTCACGACGATGTGACGATGATCAGAATTTTACTAAAATGTACTGTGTACTTCATTATAATCATGAAGAAAAAGGATGCAGAAACTGTAATATCGTATTTACATTTCATTTTAATTATAAATAACTTGTGGCCGAGTTGACTTGTGGCCGAGTTAACTTGTGGCCGAGTTGACTTGTGGCCGAGTTGACTTGTGGCCGAGTTGACTGCAGCCGAACTTTTTGTGGCCGAGTTGATTTGTGGCCGAGTTGACTTGTGGCCGAGTTGACTGTGGCCGAGTTGACTTGTGGCCGAGTTGACCTGAACCCATTATATATGCCTCCTCGTCATCGCTACACAGTACATCAGTATCGCCCCCCCCCCCATACAGTACAGACGTTTGCTGGGCAATCAGCGTGATTGAACCTTCCATCGCAGGTGTTAATGTATTGGCATATTGTTAGCTAACCAGTTGTGTGTATTTCTTTGTGAAAATGAGTACGGCGGCGTACTCATTTTCACAAATCATTTGCATCCCCTCTTGGAAAGAGGGAACTTCGAAATAATTGTCTCTATATCTTCGCTAATTAAATTAATCACCGTAAATTAGCTTACACTTATGAATTTAGCTAGCGCTTAAAAACTCCGAACTTTATTCATTTGGCCTACATAATAGTTTCATCTTGCTGTACTATATACTCCAACATCACTAGCGCATGGTAACAACCAACTGATGCAGACCATTTCCGGTCACACATTACTCTCCATATCACAGCACCCCCTAGTTCCGTCACCTCTGGATTCTATTGTTCTCTAGTTTGTGAGCTCTTGCAGTGCATTGATATATGCAAATAAGGTTGTTGGAACTGCAAGATCTTCCGCACCCAAGACAAGTAGATATTTTCGTGGCGATATTGGACGTTAAAAAATGTTTAAACTCTTTGGCAATTCCTTTGAAAGGTAAGATACATAAACACATATATTGCCGTTTAAATGTTTGAAATGTATGGTACATAAGACTGCAACAGGCTAGTAATTAAGCCACCCCTATCCTCAGCGGGATAAGACTACTTCCACCGCCGACAACTTCGGCCGCGCGGAATTTGTATGGCGCGCCATATAGGCATTATCCCTCACCAGCTATTTGATTGTAGCAAGGTGGATCGTGGGAATCAACTAAATAGCAGCCTAATTTTTTGTTTTTTTTAAGTTGAATAATTTATGATAAAACGAAATACAAATAAAATATACGGTATGCATTGATATCATTTATATCGTGTTTGAATGTTATTTGATTGTTTTCTTATTGCGTGTTTTAAACCACTCGTCCCATTCCCATGCAAGATATTGATTCCCACGATCAACTACGACCTTAGTGAAAAGCGCACCGTACGTTTTTTTTGTTTTTTTTTAACATGTTTACTGCAGATCTTAATAAATTCGAACGTTAACTTGCCACTTCTAAACTATTTTGCGGGGATACATCAGAAACCAATTCAAATTTGCGCAAATCTCTAGAAAAATAGGTGCACATATTTCATCTGTTTCCTTCCTTCATCCATGTTATGTCTGTTCAAAATTTATTCATACAACTTCGTAAGTTTTAAAAGCAAAAGCAAATAAAAAAGTATATATCACATGTTTGTAGGCTAGAACAAGCCAGTTGGCTATTCTCGCGGCTAGTAACAGCAGCATTAGTACGCCTACATTCCTGAATTGGCGGCGTACAAAGAATCAAACTACGTAGGTGACTAACCTTGTGTTTGCTTCTAACAATAGCGTTGTGGGAACCTACTTGTTGGAATGTTTCTTACTGATTTCACTGTTGCTAGGCAAAGTAAAGGCAATTTTGTATTTTGTTGCCTATTTTAAGCAGTTTATTTCAATTAATGACAAAGTAAAAGCATCAATACAGAACTGCGTTAATTAATTTTATTGTCTTAATTGTTAAAAATTTTAATAAACATATTGTGGGTATAAAATTTGTTTTTAATACATTCTATCTACCTATAAAAGGAGAGTGGCTGTAAAGGCAATGTATACACAAATACATAATAACGCTAAAGCGTAAAGTACGATATTACCAATATTTTCATTATTCGAAATAATAGGTTTTTCGAGCATAGCTCTTCATCTATTTACATGTCTATCGTTCCTATTTTAATTTTGCACATTATACAAACCATAAAACCCAACCCTAAAAATACAGTTACTAATGAATGATTATTAAAATCTGTATCACATAAATGACATTAATATACTTTAATATTTGTGAAGAAATTCTCATAAACCTTATAAAAGTAAAGTAGGATACAAAATATAGTGCAATTAATGCTAAAAAAACATGTTATCCTTATTCTTTATCATCACTTTTATAATACATTTATATTCATAAATGTTATAAAAGTAAAGTAGGATACAAAAATATGGCCGGCACAATTGATTCTAAAAAAAAAACATGCCGTCCGGGTCAAGCTCGCTAGTCATAAGGTTCATTTTTCATAAGGTTCGTTATCCATAACATTAGCTTACCCTATACCATAAAGTCGTTATTCATAATGAAGAAAAGGGTTCGCTATTCATAAAATAATAAGGACTGCTCTTTAATAATGTTCGCTAGTCATAATCAAGAAAAGGGGTCACTATTCATTATAACACAAGGCATAAGGTTCGCTAATCATAATCAAGAAAATGGATTCCCTACTCATACTATAAATAAAGGACCGTTATGCATAAGGTTCGCTATTCATAATAAAAAAAAAAGAGGTTCGCTATTCATAATAATAAAAAAAAAGAGGTTCTCTATTCATAATAAAAATAGAGGTTCGCTATTCATGAATAAAAAAAATCGAGGTTCGCTATTCAGTTACTTCGAGCTGTATGTAACAACTGCATACGCTGCATTAAAATTGTAACATTGTTGACAAACGTTATGTACAGTAAACAGAATTACAATCAAAACAAAAAGGCATTAAACTAGTGCATTTCATGTTGTGTACAGTATTATTTCTTTTTTAAAGTTATCTAATGTACTGCTATCGAGCCATATTTACTGTACGTTGATCTGAGACTAAAATATGAGGGACTACCTAAACCAATCCATCCATCCATCAATCAACATGGCTTTGTATAGCGTCAAAATATGTTCAGTAAAAATAATATTATTAAAACAAATTAAGTAATGATGACAAAAAAAATCCACACACTATCATGGGCCCTCAATAATGTCATCAGTCCTCTAATAATGGGCTCCTCCAGATTGACAGGGCGCAATCTCTTGGCGGCCCTGAATCTACATAAGGAATTATACATACAGTATACACTGTCTTGTGTAGACCTTTGTATTTGGAAAGGGCATAGCATAAAAAATATTTAACATCTTGCAAAAGGGTTCTTCAAACAGGATAAAGGATATTTTTACCTTTAATATATCAGCAACCTTTTAATTACATACAGCATTATAAATAAAAACTAAAGATTAATAAACAAGTAATATAATTTTATATTTCAAATATATTTCTATATAATTAATTAAGTACTAGTTGTAATATGTTCTCAATGTTATGCATAATCTATTAAAATTTTCAACATAAATCATTTATTATTCTTTATTTTACAATTGTTTTTTTTTTTTTATATTGCACATATGCTGCCAACATTATTCTCTTTATTTTGTTTTCTTAATAATATTAAGTTTACAATACAAGTGGTAACAAACTTCAGCACAAACTCCTGTATACCAACCCTGTAGGCCTACAGTTACCAATTTTAATCATATGAAAAATATGACTATCCTAACTTACATTCTGTGATATTTTGTTTTGGTTTCTCTATTTCTGGTAGGGGACGTCTACGCACAGTTGGTACTGTTCCATCTGCATTTACTCGGTCAGGATATTCAATAGTTTGACCATTCTCCAATAACAAAATGCTATGAAAATATATATATTGTATTGTCATATATTTATATTATTGATAGATATCTAGGTTCATACGGGTACGTTGTTTACGCGCGTACTATTACTATTACGATATTTACTACCTACAGAGTAGGCTGAGCTATGTGTAAAACTTGACAGTTTGACTGGAAATAAACGAAACAAGAATGCAAGTTTATTACAGTCTCATTTGATTTATTTATTGCATTGGATCCCTAGGGAAGGCCTGCATTGTCATTACTGTTGAATATTTTCCTGAAAATCTACTCATAGATCGCAATTTATTAGAAAATTTAATACTATGTCCTATGTCCTGAGATCAGGCGCGACCCATCGACCGCGGAATGCTGCTGCCGAGGCCAATTTTTTAAAAATTTTAATGGAGATATAAGGAAAATTATATTCAAAGTTTAAGTCTGAGAGTGTAAATTCCGGCCACTTGGAGGTGCCATAATCACAAATTTTCTTACCCCAACCATGGTGGGACTGAGGTGGTATAGATTCTCCATCAGTAGTTAAATATTGCGGTACAGCACAGCTCTAGAGGGCGCTCAGTGAAGATTACGTAACTAACGTCATTTTAATCCCTCTGTTTTAGAACAATGGACAAGAAGCGACGCTAATAACATCATTTAATCCCTTTGTTTTAGAACAATAGAAAGGACGCTACTGATATTTAATCCCTTTGTTTTAGATAGTTATATCTACCAGGTGTTCCCTTTATTTTAGTTCCAATAGAATCATAATTGTCTATTACCTTACACCCATTGTTCTCCGGATTTTTAGTCACAATAGAAACTTATTTGTCAATTATCATTTTATCTCTTTTGTTTTAAATATATCTGCCAGGTGTGTCGAATGATCATTGAAATTTAAATTCCTCTTAAACAATAGGAATAAAACAGTAGAAAGGATATGCGGTGTCTTCGATAGGGTTAACTAATAGGATTAATTGTTTGTATAGTAAAAATTGAAGATACGTCATGATAGAGAATGAATTCCATTGGATGAGAGATTTTCGGTGACTTAAAAAAAACGCGGTAACATGTTGGTTTGAATAGCGCGGGTTTACGTAAATAGATTTATGACGTCATTTAATCCTATACCATGAGTGTGTATATATACTTGAGTGAAAATAAAGGTAAGACATCTTTGAAAAATGCTATTTCGTAGTTTAAAACTCTCTAAACATCAGTTTAGTTTCTGACAACTCCAACTGTCTTGACTACAAGAAACTAGTGCAATTTACTTTATCAGAATGAATTTCTATAAATCAACAGCCGATTATACTGATTCCAAGATGATTGAAAAGGCAAAGGCTACAATGAATCGTGTAATGCAACCGTCTAAGAAGCAGAAAGTAGAAGTTGGACCAAATGTAAGCGCTTCTTCCAAACAGGATATGGGAAAGAGTCAGATTGGCACAACAAAACCAATGATGGCAAACGGGTCTACAGTCACAGCTACAAAACGTATTTACCTAACTGAAAAGAGGCATGTTGTCGCTCAACTTTGGAATGAAAATATGTTTATCTGTATTCGTGAGTACTTTAAAACTGAAGAAGACGGTGACTTTAAACCAAGCCGAAAGGGAATTAACCTACCAATTAAATAGTGGCGAGAACTTTTAAATCAACGCGACGTCATTGATGATATGATTAAAGAACTTGAAGGTGTTAATGAATGCATCACAGTAATGGATGAAAATGACAATGAAAAGAACCAACAGTTACTATAACATTGATCAATACAGTTGGATGTATCCTGAAGTCATTGATAACAACTAAGAACTGTTTGTAAAATAGTTGGAACGAAACTGAAAACTTCATTCGAAACTTCTACTGCCGACCTGCCTTCAACTAATTTTTTACCAGTCTATCACGTTTACCAGTATATACTCCATCATGGCCTGTTTGAACAACACATTCCAGTTATTGATTTAACTAGAGAAGAAGAAATGGTGATTGATCTGACAAATATTTCAGATGAATAAGAAGTAAACCCTCTCGTTATTGATTTAACTAGAGAAGAAGAAATATACAAACAATTAATCCTATTAATTAACCCTATCGAAGACACCGCATATCCTTTCTACTGTTTTATTCCTATTGTTTAAGAGGAATTTAAATTTCAATGATCATCTGACACACCTGGCAGATATATTTAAAACAAGATATAAAATGATAATTGACAAATAAGTTTCTATTGCGACTAAAAATCCGGAGAACAATGGGTTTAAAAGATAATAGAAAATTAAGATTCTATTGGAACTAAAACAAAGGGAACACCTGGTAGATATAACTATCTAAAACAAAGGGATTAAATGATGTCAGTAGGGTCCTTTCTATTGTTCTAAAACAAAGGGATAAAATGATGTCATTAGCGTCGCTTCTTGTCCATTGTTCTAAAACAAAGGGATTAAATGACGTTAGTTACGTAATCTTCACTGAGCGCCCTCTAGAGCTGTGCTGTACTACAATGAGGAGGATTCAAGGCGACCTAGCCGGCCCGCCCCTACCCACCTAAATTGTTCAGCCCCAAATTACAACAAATATGAAAACATATTACAGTAGCTTGGGCCTATAAAATTCACCAAACTTCGTAAAATATCCGTATCTTCCAGGGGGAAAAGCCCAATCGGGGGGGGGCCTTGGCGTCCCCTGGCCCCAGCCTAGATGCTCGCTTCACTCGCATACTGGAACTAATTAATTGGCCCCTCCACTTTCACAAACGTTCCGCCGCCGTTGTATATGGTCATAATGTGATGTCATCTTGACCACATTTAGGCATGGCACATTTTTTTGTCAATTAAAATTGAATAGTCAGGACAGGGGTTTATTTTAAATGAACTAAATGACTGAACTAAAATTCAATTTCAAGACGTTTTTTTTTTCTTCCAGTGGAACTAGGCAATGTATGATGTGTTGAAATTCGTTTCGATTCTGCTGTGGTGCGCAATAATATCATCATATAAGTGTTATAGTTCCTGCCCGGATCCTCAATGGATAACTGGTAAGAAGTTAGTAAGCATTATTGAGCTTTTGCAATATCAATTTTGACAAGTATCTAATATTTTATAATAATCGTAAATTAAACCCAAATAATACCAAAGAAATTATTTTTTATTTTAGAAAAGGTAACATTAGTGTAGTATCGGTAAATGTAGCTGGAAAAGAAATCGAAATTTTTGAACAACATAGATATTTATAAACTATAATTGACAATACACTAAACTGGAATGCACACATTGATCATGTCAGTAAGAAGGCTATTTCTTACAAAACCTAAGTAATTCCAAGTTAGTAGTGTATTCTTAACCTCTTTTTAATAGTATCATTTTAAGTGTTCTAACTATTACTGGTATGTCTTACCGGGTGTCTATAAAACGAAGACCGAAGACCCAAAAACGAAGACCCCTATTTTGTCTCTTTCATTTTGATGATAATACGCCAGCTGTCACAAAATCAAAATTACGACATTTTTTGGGCGTCTGTTTGTGAAATTTTCAAGGGTCTTCGTAGACCTGAAAAACGAAGACCTTAAATTATTTCTCAATTATCTTATTGAAAGTGTTTCAAAATCATCATAAAACAGTTGCCAATTACTTATTTCATTATTTCATCACGATTTGGAGGAAAAAAAAATGTGGGTCTTCGTTTTTCGGGTCTTTGGTCTTCGTTTTGTAGACACCCATATAGGGTGTCTATAAAACGAAGACCATAATTATCTCATCCTATGTTGGTGTCACTACCAAATGACCGATGCTGCACATATGCATAACTATACAGCATTCCAGGCCCGTAGGCAGGATTTTCGATGGGGAGGTGCGTTTTTGCGACCGAAGCGGACCTTAGGATAGGCGATCGCCTAGAGATCCCGGGGGGGGGGCTCAAAATTAGCATTTTGAGGGCCTTATAATGGATTTCTGAAACCTATAATTTGTAATATTCTTTATAAATTTTCATTCATTTGGGTATTGTTTAGGGGCATAAAGCAGGAGAAATAGAGGGTGGGGTCCAGGGCAGGGAGGAACATTCACAGACAGATGATCAATACCACCTTATCCCTACCATGGTTGGGGCTGAGGTACGAAAATTTATGATTTATGGCACCTCTAGATGGCCGGAGATGGCACTCTCAAACAAAATTTAATTATGATTTTTTTTTCGCCATTTCTTTTATAATTTTAGGGAGCTCTCCCCCCTTGCCCTCTTATGCGCCACTGTGAAGTTGTAACTTTTTATGTCCTTTACATCTGTAGGTCTACAGATGACATGGATCAATCTGCAATCATTGGAGCTGATAATTTCTAACAGATTTCGTAGCACATTAGAAATCAACGGTTAAAAGAGCGGGCAAAAAAATGTAATGCATACTAGGCCTATAAAATTTCGGGATAATTAGGAACGATTTTAATGAAATAATAGGTTTTAAAAAGTGGACTTCTTGAAATTTGAGTTTTTGAGAAAAGCCCCAGGAGGCTCCGACAAAGTAGCATTTTGAGGGTCTTATATAATGGATTTCTCAAACACAGGCCTACAGATAACATTGTTCATATTATAGATCAATCTGCAGTCACCGAAGACGATAAATTTCCAACAAATTTCATATCATATTGAACATCAATGGCTGGATGTGCTGGCAAATATAAAATGCAGTGCATGCTATAGCATTTTGTGATAATTATGAACGATTTTGTGAAATAATAGGTTTTAAAAAGTGGACCTTTTGGAATTTGGGGGGGGGGTGCGTCCGCACCCTGCTGCTTTGGAACTGGAATAAAGAGCAAATCATAAATTGACTCAGATTCAGGAAACAATGTGCTAAAAAGACAAATACTATATATACATAGCATGAAGTGATTTAAAAACATTATTTTCATCGTAATTGAGAGAAAAAAATGTGGGTCTTCGTTTTTCTGGTCTTCGTTTTGTAGACAACCATATAGGGTGTCTATAAAACGAAGACCCTTATGTATTTCTTGATATTCCTCATTTTATTCCGATAAAATAATGAAATAGGTACTTTCAATAAGACAACTGAGAATTAATTGGAGGTCTTCGTTTTTCGGGTCTTCGGTCTTCGTTTTGTAGACACCCATATAGGGTGTCAATAAAACGAAGACTCTTGAAAATTTTACAAACAGACGCCCAAAAAAATTCGTAATTTTTTTTTTGTGACAGCCTGGTGTATTATTATCAAAAAAAAAAAAAAAAATAAGGGTCTTCGTTTTTGGGTCTTCGGTCTTCGGTCTTCGTTTTATAGACACCCATGCCTTACCTTACAATTGTTGAACTCCCGAGAATCATAAAACTTGCTCGCAAAATTAAGAAAGACCGCTGTAGCTTAAGTGAACTACACAACAAATATGTACTGTGTATATTAAATAAGATTATTAAGGACTTGTCTCACCCCCAATGACAACATGTAGGCCTACTCGCACAATAATTCAGGCAGGCTTCGTACCATTAAAAGAGAACTAGCAAAATGATTTTTTTTGTTTTAGAGGAGATATTTGATATGCCATTAATAATAGAATCAAACTTAAAATCGTTTTTTGGCAATTATTTATGAAGTTACAGGACATTATATACGATTTTACCGAAAAAAGTAACAAAGATCGTGTAAATAGCGCCGCGTAAGGTATCCGCCACGTACGATCTTTGCGTGCATGCTGTAACCATGGTTGTAACTTGTTTGTTGACGCAGCATATTTTATTAACAAATTGTCGGCGCACAAAGAGTTATCAAACAGAAAAGCGACTATGATTAGGCCTAGCCCCTACCGCAGCGTGCTGTGTTTACCCAATTTTCAGCAACATTAACAATGCGAAACATGTCATGTATATTGTTATCAAAGGTCATACACTACTAAATGTCGATAATGGTGAAACAAGTTTTTTTGTTTATCATTTATTTATCAATAGCATTTGTTGACGGGTCCCGACTAAATTTGTGCCTCCGGATTTAAAAAGAAAACTATAATAGGCCTACTCAATATAAAATTTGTTATTTTCATGCAGGAAAGATTGAAAATGCATCCTTAATTATTAAAATGCTAGTTAGATCTCTCAGGGTAAAACATGATTAGCCCATAGAAGAAAAAATAGCTTCCTCCATGATTAGACGTACAGCAGGTATTTATTTTTGCACGATATCATACCTGTTAGTCGCCATCCGTCTGGGCCTGTCACGTGGTCTAATTTACAATATAAATTCGCACTGGTCTAGTCTATAATACCAGACCTATTCAAATACACTGGGCGCACAGCCATCTTGAATAGTTGAGTTGGACCATGGAGATGGTTGGACGACATAAGATGTATATGTAAGACAGTATATGGGGAATGCAGTCAACAAAGAAAGGGTAGTTAAATTGGGATTTTAAGTTGTCAACGTAATCAAAACACCATTCACTTGTGAATGTGGGGTTTTAAGACCATCTCAAAAACATCTCACAGCAGATTCTCTATAAAGGATATTCATCCCCTCGTCCCATGCTCAGAGTTATTATAAACCTACAGTGCTTGTTTTTTTATTTTGTTTATTTGCAATAAATGAAGAGGAGGTACCAGGCTGTAAAATATCCCCCGCGAAAAATGTTAGGTCCCCCCGCCCCCACATTTTTCACCAATCTTCTATAGTTAAAACCCCACTTTCGAAACGAGTGGAAAGAACAACAATTATGAATGACTTTCATGAATATTGTCCATTCACTTGTGCTCTGTTCCAAGTGCGGTGCGTATTTCCGCACCAATACTGAGTAAAAAAGCAATTGTTTGTACATTTCGTAACCATCTCAGTAACCACTCCATCTATTTCATGGATGCATCGGTTTTTCAGAGGCGACATTTATTATGAAAACAATGTACAACTGTACGTTGTTAAAATTGATAGCGTGTAAACATATTAGGCCAACATTTTTACGAACTCAAAGTTCACAATTTTTACTTTAAACAATTCATTCCTTTTGTATATTATTAAGGCCCGTATGTTATACTAGTGTTAAATACTATCTGCATACATAAATTCCTGTTTTCCTAATTTCAAAAAAAATTATAGTTAGTAAATTTTATTTTATATAGCCATTATAAAAAATAATTATACAGCCTTATATATATATATATATATATATACACACCCATGGATAGGCCTGTCTATTTCGACTTATTTAAGTAGTGATACCACCAGTTTACGAAATCCGATGTTACTCGACGCAATCTCGCCATGACATCATGCAGGGGCGGATCCAGCAAGGGGCCACAGGGGCCCCGTTCCCCCTTCCGTCAATCCCGCCGAAAAATAAAAAAGATCCCGTCAATCCCGCCGAAAAATAAAAAAGATTGAGGAAAAAAATGAGAAGAGTTAAATGGAGGAAAGAGGGAAAAAAGAAGTGTACCCATGAGTTCAAAGAAGTGGGCAAAAGGAGAACTCGATTTTACCACTCACAAATTTTGAATTTTCTATTGACGACGAACACAAACGTTACACTGTATAGCCAACGCCGATTTTTTCCAACGATTTCACAAACCAGGATGTAAGAAAAGTCAAAAGATGGAGACCTAAGACAGGGTTTTTTATCCGCCCGCGCATTACCGGAATGAGTGTATATTGCTGGAACAGCTACGCGTATGCACTCTGGTGTGGCGGTCGACAGGGCCATCGACCTCTATAACACCCAGGGCTTATACTTATACATAACAGTGTAATATATCTCTGACGTTGACTGTAGGACATATCATATTAATCAAGTGGGGATGGGGTGCCCAGCTGACCAGGACCGCCTATATTTGTCAAAATTTATAACAAAATGGAGATAAAATCTGAATAAGTCTGAATGAGTGCCATTTCCAGGCATCTAGAGGTGCCATAATCATAATTTGCTTTGCGACTACCAGTATAAAATGGTGTACGGTAAAAATGGCCCAAGAAAAAATGGCCCTGGGAAAAATGGCCCTAGTAAAAATAGCCCCAAATGACAGGGAGGTAAAACTGGCCCCAATAATAAAATT